TCTCACAGTTGTAGGGGCAAGAGTCTGAAATCCGTTTCACTGAACTGAAATCAAGGTGTTGGCAAGGTAGTGCTTCTTCTGGAAGCTCTAAGGGAGAATTTATTCCTCGCCTCTTTCAGTTTCTGGTGGCTACTAGCACTCCTTGACTTGTGGCCCCATCACTCCTGTTTCTGCTTCCATGGTCATACTGTCTTCTACTCTGTACGTAGCTTCCTTCTGCTTGTTACTTATAAAGATAGTTGTGATTGCATTTAAGGCGTGCCCAGGTAATTCAGCATAAGCACTCCATTTTAAGATCCTTAGTTAATCATATTTGCAAAGATGTTTTTTTTCACATAAAAGGTAGCATTTATAGGTTCCACACTAAAGACAATAAAGAAATTGTAAGGGACTATTCAATTCATTGCAAATAAACGTGAAAAAATGTATAACTTACTGAACTATTTTCAGCAAAAAATTCAAGCAGATTTCCAAAGTACAAGTAGAGAAAGGTATCAAAGAACCTCCCTTCCCTCTCTCTCTGCCCCAGGCCAAAATAATAATGTACGTAGACAATTTCACAGGGAAATTCTAACAAAACTTTTAAAGAGCAGATTATCCCAATGGTATTTTAACCGTTGTTGAATACAGTTAAAAAAAAAAAAGAAAGAAAGAAAGAAAGAAAAAGAAAAAAGAAAGAAATGCTTTCAAATTCTTATGAACTGGGCACAAAAGTGATTTCCAAAATCAATCACGATTGCACAAAAAAGAAAACTAGCAACCATATATCAAAGGTTCACCAGAAGACACTGATAATTCAATATTCTGATATATGGAAATTAATAGCCTTCTTATATTCAAACATAACCAGTTAGAAGACACAACATAAGGAAAAATTCCCCATTTTCAATAACAAAACAAAAAATGAAATCTCTAAGAGAAAAACGTATGAGATCATTACCAAAAAAAAAACTTTAAAATGATACAGAAGGACACAAAATAATATACGAACAAAAGAAAAAGCATTCTATGTCCTCAGACAGGATGACTCAACATCATAAAGATGTCAATTCTCCCTAAATTAACCTACGATTTTCACACAAGTCTAATAAAAATGTCAGCATCATTTTGTCAGAATAATCAAGCTGAGTCAAAAGTTCATGTGGAAAAATAAACAAGTAAAATTAGCCAAGAAAAGTCTGGAATAGAAGAGCAACAGCGGGGAAACTAGTGTCCAAGTATTAACACATTACAAAGCTTCAGTAATTAAAACTGTGTAATACTGGCACATGAATAAACAGACAACAGAATATGAAGTCCAGGAATAGACATACATCTATATATGGCATAGAAAAGGTGGCATTGCAAATATATGGGGGAAAGATGGACTATTTAATTAATAGTGTTGAGGAAAATGGGTTGGAGATTTTTAAAAAAGGAAAATAAAATTCAGTTCAATTCCCAACACCTAATAATAAGATAAATTACAAATGTATTAAGTTTTAAAGTATGAAAAAAAGATCAAAATACCAGGAAACCATAGAAAGTGAAAGACCTTTCTAACTACAACTTTAAAATCAGAAGCTATAAAAGGTAAGACTGATAAATACATGTTTAAAAAATATGCATGGAAAAAACGTATAAGCAAAATCAAATGGCAAAAAAATTGGGAGGGAAAAAATGGGAACTTATAGTACAAACGTAAGGTTAATCTCACTAATGTACAGAATTCCTAGAAGTCAATGAGAAAAAGGCAATCCAATGGAAAAAAAAAAAGGGAAAAAAATATAGGAAGTTCACAGAAAAGGAAATATGAATTGCTCTTATATGTTAAGAAGCTCACTCATAATAAGGAAAGGGAGGTAGATGGGGTAAAGGGGGTCAAATATATGGTAGCTGAAGGAAACTGGACTTTGGGTGGTAAACACACAATAGAATATAGAAATGTTAAATTATAATGTACACCTGAAAATTATATAATTGTATTAACCAATGTTACCCCAATAAACTTAATTTAAAAAAAGAGAGAGGAAAAGAAAAAGAAAATTAAACCATTTTCATCTCTAAGATTGGCAAATTTCAGTAATTGAATTTTAGAGAAATAGGATGAGGAAACAGGTTTTCTCAGACTTGTTTGTGAGAGCATAAATTGTTACAGCTTCTGTGAAGAGCAATTGGTAATGTACATCAAGTTAATAAATACCCTTTTAGAAATATATTCTAAGATATAATTGTATGCTTATGATATGATGTATGCACAAGATTATTTATCGTGGCATTCTTTGTAATAGCAAAAGAGTGGAAGCAGCCATAATGTCTACTAATGTCCATCGATGAGGCCAGTTGAATGCAGTATAGTACATTCATACAATGAAATACTACAGAACCATGCAAAAACATGAAGAAACTCTTTACATACTGACTGATATGGAGTGATCTCTTAAATCGCTAGACGAAAGAATATACACATATACACAGACATCTCTAAAAAGACACATAAGAAACTGATAAGACTGGCTATGTTAGGGAAGGGGAACTGGGTGGCTGGAGGAGAAGAGTATGAAGGACACTTTTTAGCATATACTTTTTATACTTTTGCATTTTTAAAATTCATAAATTATTTGAAGAGGTCATAAGGCCTTATATAAGTCATAAGTGCCAAAATGAACTACAGAGATAATAAGTAGTAAAAGAAAGAAATACAATAGAGATAATAAGGTAAAGTTCAATTTCAACCTTCTCTTCCTATTAACCTCTGGCAAAATGCACGTCTTCCTCCATTTACAGTTTTGCTTGCTGTCATTGGCCCCTATGCTTACCCTCAGACTCTACTATTTAATTTATCTCGATATGTTTTCTAATAATTTTCCAATCAAAGTTATATCAATACATCTCAATTTCAACATGTGCTATGTGCAGTTCTAAAATGTGGGTTCTATAGAAGCTGCTATTGCATTTTGGAGGGATATCACAATAACAAAAAAGCTTAAAATTATTCATTTGAGGAAATCATAAGAAAATACATCTTTTTTTATCATGTTACTTTTAAAAAACAATGGTTAAAATAAAATCTTGCCTGTTATTTGGAAATCATGTTATGGGCATTTTAATAGTATTTGTTTGAAGAATTAAAGATGTCCTCCCCAGACATTCTTAACTGTGAAAAGCACATTAAAAAAGGTAAGCCGTTAGATAAAATATAAATGAGTAAAATCACATGTCAAATAACCATGGTGTCCATGGAGTTGCACAATTCCAGAAAATGGGATGTGAAAAAATATTAAATCAATTTATATTATTTTATCTTATTCTTATAATATATAAAGAATGTTAATATTAATTTACAAATAACAAATAGGCATGCATAACTGCCATCGTGTGCTCAACCTTTTTTATTCATAGAGGTGTATAATCAAAATGTTTGGTAACCACTGCTAAATGATATTTTTTCACATAAATAAGGAAAAATTGCATGTACTGCAGAAATGTTTTTTAACAGGTATAGCAGAAAGAAGTAGCCATAAATTATGAATCTCTAAGTGAAATACTACTGAATTCATTTGGTATGGCTCTTAGCACAATGCTATCTGAACAGAGATTCCTAATAAATAACAGAATTTTCAAGTTAAGAAAGAAATATTAGATAACACCTATTCCAAATCTTATCTCAAACATGTGATAACTACTGGCCAGAGAGAATAAAAATGTTGTCTGTGTTATATGGCTGACTCATAGTGACAGAGCCAGGAATAGAATCCAGATTTCCCAAACCTTTGTCTTTCTACTATATATGAGTGTGTGTGTGTGTGTGTGTGTGTGTAGAGAGAGAGAGAGAGAGAGAGAGAGAGAGAGAGAGAGAGATGAAATGGGGAGGGTCTTTGAAATTAAGCATCAGGCCAACCCAGTATTCTCACTAACTTATTACTTTATTCTCTCCTGTTAATCCATATCTTTATTTTTGTCTCTCTTTTTTTTAGCCTTCTCAAAATCACATCTCATTTTAGAACATGAAATAGTGAATTTATATTTTTACCATGTTATTTTTTAAAGCCATTCTAAAGGAGAAAGTTTCAAACCTGGAGTTAATCCTATTTTTACCTATCTCCTCTAACAGAAACAACCTCTGAACTCTAAATGCCTTTCTTTCTTACCCGTAATCCTCTGAGAACAACCCAGCGCAAGAAATATATACCCAATTCTGCCCAAAGGAAATGAAAGGTGAAACGAGTTGGGAATGGGTGATAGAGAAGTTGAATTGCAAAGAAGAAATCAGAATTAAGAGTCCATGCTTAAAGGATGATAAGAATGTAAACCTCTAAGAGCAGATCCTATATTAACTCTTCAAATCCATTAGCCCAATTTTGAGTTGAATTTTCTCCAGAGCTCTCAAAGTACAAACAATACCAGTGGTTTGAAAAAATTGAGATCATGACGTTAAGCAAAAAGCTGAAGAGAAATCGAAAGTATTTATCTAGGTAATGCAAACTCATTTTTAATATCTTGATTGTAGTCGTGTAGTCCCTTCACAATATGTACAGGTAGACTCTTTTCACAGACTCTGGTTTCAACAATGGCTATGTCACTTAACCAGTTTTGTCATATATTGGGAAACTGATAAGACGTTGGCTCGGGGAGATTAAATGGCATAATATAGATAATCGCTTAACAAAGCATTCAACATATAATTAAGCATATATAAAAGTCAACTCTTTTGGGTCACATGTCTCCACACAGGTGAAGTGATATGCCCAAGGTCTCACATTTTATGCTAGGCAGGATACTTAGAAACCCAGACTTTTCCTGTAAGGAGACTGACAGTTGAGGCATTTAAGGAGTTGGCTAAGTCAGTATTCTTTCAAGGATTGCAGGAAAAATGTTGGCCTCTGGCACGGCCAATATTCTAACCACATAAATCCAACACTGCAACCCCGCTTCCCCCACTTCCCCTTCAGAAACAAGTAGTAACTACATTTCCCAGCGGCCCTTAGGCTGCTTCCGGCTCAGCGCGCCGGCGCTCTGCTTTCCGGCCGCATCTTTTACGTCAGTTCGATTCCGAAGACTCCTACAACTGTGGCGGAGTTCCCGAACATGGGTTCTTCCCTGACCCAGCCTCTTGAGCCCGCTCCTTCCGCCAGCCCCGCGCCCCTCGCTGAACCCGAAGCACCGACCTCTCCAGAACAAACCCCTGTAGTTAATAACTGCTGGAGCTGTCGCGTGCTCTCCGGGTCGGGGCTGATAGGGGCGGGCGGGTACGTGTACTGGGTGGCGCGGAAGCCCTTGAAGCTGGGGTACCCCCCGAATCCAGGGACTGTTATGCAGATGGTCATCGGCATCAGTGAGAGTCCGGGCTTGGCGCTTCGGGGAGGACTGGGAGAGGGAGAAGCGGGAAGCAGCCACGTGGGAGGGGTTGCAGGGCGCTCGGGCTGGCCTTCTGGCGGGAGCCACCCCAAACAAGATGCCGGCGTGTTGAGAAGAAGTTTGGACGCAGTTTTTTTTTGTTTTGTTTTCTTTTAATCACAATATTTCTTGAGACTAGTATCAGCCTCAGTCTTTTTAATGCTACCAATAGCTATTAAAGATAATAGTCCCATTTTATTGCTGAAGCAAATAAGAAACGGAAGAAGTATCCTGTTCAAAGTTAGACATCTAGGATCTAGCATTTGATCCTGGGTTTATCTGGCACCAAAGCCTTTTTTTTTTAAATTTTTTATTTTATTTATTTTTTTTATTTTACAGCCCAATCCTAGAGAAAGCCTGAGAGAGGGCACTTAACTTTAATTTAGGAACTTGGGCTTTTAAAGTCAGATTGTAGACGGGTTCAGAGCCCACATACTAGGTATACCACTGGGTATTGTGGCCCACAGCTCTTATCTGTAGCAGTTCTTAGTGATTGTCAAGTAAAATGTAGTGATTGTTTTAGCTATTCAAACCAATTGGATGAATACAATTTTAGGTTTTCAGATCTCTTACCTTTATAACTAGATTGCCCACATCAATTCTCTTTAAGTTCCTTTGTAGCTTAGAGAGGTAACAGGATTTTTTAAACTTTTTTTTTCCCTTAGCTTTATTCTTCTATAAGAAAACTGACATATTTTTAGGAGTGAGGGTTAAATAAGCTAATATATATGCAAGCACCTGGTAAATAAAATTCAACATACACATAAGGTACTGTTGTTTTTTTCCTAGGCATTGCTTGTTGGGGTATAGTCATCCTGTCAGACCCCAGAGGGAAGGCCTTCCGCGCAGGGTGAAAGTACCACCAGTGAATTTATCATCATCTGTTCCTGTCCCCGTGACACAGAGCAAACATGGGGGTTATGGATGTTCTGGACAGACATACGGACACTGACATACTTCGGTTCTGCGGATACCACAAGACTGAAAAGACAAAACACTGGTTGTCATTTTTTGACCATGAGAGCTTGTGGCCACCTTTTTGGGCTCCACAAGAATCAATAAATTCCTCAGAAGAAAACAGGTTCTTTGTCTTATCTGAGGACAGAGAGTATAATAATTTTTTTTTTTAAAGGAAATGATGCAATATACAGATAATGTGTTATAGAATTGTACACTTGAAACTAATATAATTTCATTAACCAATGTCACCCCAATACATTTAAAAAATATTTTAAAAAAGGAAATGATAAACCAAATGGGAAAATGAACTTAATTGTTATTTAAAATAGTTCTTTTTATTTAACCCGTAATTGGGTCAATACCTACTTATCAGCCTAACCTTGGATAGGCAACATGCAGTATGCAGAATTATATAAAACTATGTCTGTGTACCAGTCATACCTCCCAAGGCACTATCAGATCCATCACCTTAGGAGTTTCACAGCTACTCTGGTGGCGATTTCATTGGTGGTTAGTGAACCTTGAAAAACAGTCTTGCGGTGATTTGCCTGCAGTCATTCAGCTAGTCAGTGATGGAGCTGGGACTAAACTAGTCCTTCAGAACTAGGATGGTACCAAAGAGGTAAGAATTATATTTATGAAACAATTAGATAAAACTAATAATAAAAGATGGACATGGCAAAATATTTGATAGAAATTCAGTACTATTTGTAACTGCTAAAAAAAAAAATGTTCTTTTTCCCACAAGTACTAGAAATGTTTCTGTGATGAAATTGAGATGCTTATGAGATAAGAACTTGAATGCATTTCATGTCTAAGAGAAGGCTTTCCTACCTTCTTTTTCTGCTATACATGGCTTCTCTAAAGTTATATGTAGCTGTTTTTTAGAGCAGAAAGATAATCTTTAAAGTCAGCTGCCAACCACATATGTAATTTTTAAATGATATATTGAGCGGGTACCTTTAGGGCTGTTACTTTTTCTAGTATGTAGAAGTGCCTATGTTAAGCCTCACAGATTACAGAAAGATACTTGCATTGTCTACATCAGTTCATGGTATGGGTGGTACTCTACATGCAATTGAGAAGAAAGACATCGATAGCAAGGTATTTATGTAAAATGTACAATTCGGTTATGTTAATGAATATAGAAGTTTTAAGTTGGAAGGGCCCATAGACCCTAAGCAGGGTACTTCCCTGAGAGCCTGTGATATGTGATCATTCATCCCCTAAAATATGATGAAGTCAAGTTACTTTTGCTTTTAAAGGCAAGTCATTCTACTGATGGATAGCTGGAGTCTGAAAACTTTCTTGGGTTAAACCAAAAGTACAGATCTAACTTACTGATCTTGGTTTGATTTACTGGATAAATAGAAAAACTCTTAAACTTACAGGCTGTAATATAATTTTAACATCTTTCTCAGAATTTGTACTGTAAGCAAATGAAAGCTTTTTCCAAGTAAACTTTCCAGCTCACTATATTTGATTCTTCCTAACTTGGGGCCTTTTAACTATATGTGAGCAAAATATTGTCCTATCATGTCTATAGGCAGTTAAGTGGGAATAACCACCCCTCCCACCTCCCCCAAATAAGAATTTGTAGTTAAAAGTTGTTTTTCTTTTGAAGTGTATTCCAAAATTTGATTTCTGCCAATGCTAAGTCAAAGATCTGATTTGTTTGAGGGATGAGTCTTATCTTCAGAGAAAAAAAAGGTATTGCCTTAGCCCCACAGTGCAGGAAGTGCACTTAGTGCCCTTATTTTTTTTCCCTTTTGTTGGAGATGAAGTGGGGTGAGCAGGATAAACAGGCTCAAGAATCAATGGATTATTAGTAATGTAAGAACAACAGCTTAATTATGATTTATGGGTTTTAGAATCTCTTTAAACAGCATGGAAATGAGTTTATAAAGACTCATAATTACCTTTAGCAAAATGGTAGAGGAGAAAAAGTACAAAACAGTAAAATGTACTTAACAGTTTTCCTTGTAACATACCATTGACATTTTTCATGATATCCAAGATACCTATTAGCTCAAGCTTTGCAAAGTATGTAGATATCTCAAGATGATCAAGAAAATCATTATCCCATCTCTTGTTTCTCTTGTGTATTGTATTGACAAGTCTGGAATCCTGGGACCAACTAACTATGCTTGAATATATTAAGGACCCAAGTATAGATTGGTCCTCAGGATCTTGCTCTGTGTTGGTGGGGAGAGGTAAAGGGTCTCTTTTTCCATAGGCCAATTGCTGAGACAGCCGTTGTCTCAATCTAAAAAGTTCTGGAACTTCACCTGACCAAGACCAATTGCGGAGACAGCTGTTGCTGGTGGTTCTGGAGGGTAAGCATCTCGGCCAAAATTTATACTTCACCTCCACCCTCAGTTCAGCATTTGCTCCTCACTCCTTTTTATTACTGGTTTCTCAGCCTAGCTGTGTCTGAATTAGGGGCCTCTTGAATGAAGCCAGTTGATTTGACAACATAAAACATATTGCTCTTAAATATATGTTCAGGGCAAGCATATGTTCCAGTACCCCCTCAAACCAGCCTTGGCCTCAACTGATTTATTGCTGGGCCTACATTGATCAAACAGACACTTCACAAATCTTGAAGTCAGGAATAGCAAGCAATTTTGAGTTGAAAAACTACATTTTTTAAAAAATGACAGATAAAACCTTGCTTTGACCCAATGATTATATAGGTGTTAGGGGCACAGAATCGAAGGTGAAAGACCTACAATTACATATCATTCAGTTATATCCTAAGAGCATGGGGAGAAAATATGTCACTCTTCTAAGTGCATGTCTCTCAGTCTTTGAGATATTCAGCAACTTGTCATTCAAATGTAAATGAAGTGCAGAGAAACAGCCCAAAGGGCAAATGTTAAATGCAGCAATGCCACTAAAAATCACTGCTTAGTCCTGTGGCTGAATTTGCACGTACTTCAGAAATGTGGTAGGCAGGATTTTAAAATGGTCCCCCAAATGCCCAGAGCCCTAGTGTACACAAACTTTCTCCCAGTTAATCAAGCACCATTCTAGGTACCGCTGTGAAGGAATTTTGCAGATGTACTTAATGTCCAGATGGGCTAATTACCTGAGCCCATTAAATCTTGCTCTAGAGGTCAGAAACAGAATAAGTCAAGAGATTAGAAGCAAGAGGGGGATTCAATGTCTTAGAAGTCTATTGCAGGCCTGGAAGAAAGCAAACATCCTTTGTGAATCTCCCTATGAGAGCCACTGTGATTAGGAACTGCAGGCAGCTTGGAGTTATTGAGAATGATCACCAGCCAACTGCTAAAAGGGAAACAGGACAACAGCAAGAAAGTGAATTCTTCCAGCAACCCATGAGCTTGGAAGAGGGCCCTGTGAGAACCAAGAACTGCAGCCCCAGCCAATACCTTGGTTTCAGCTCAGTGAGACCCTAAGCAGAGTATCTTGTCATGCTGTGAAACTTTGAGATAATAAATTTGTGTTAAATTGCCAAGTTTATAGTAATTTGTTACACCAGTAGAAAACTAATACAAGGAGTGTTTTGCAGAATCCTAGTCATAGTAGATGGCATACCAGATCTAACACATATCCCCATTCTGGGTATTCAGGAAGTAGCAGTGAGGGGACATCTGAATAACATTTGTCTTTACAGTTACTGTTTTCACTTGTTCTTTTACTGGTTTTCTTGGGTAGTTTTTATTTTCTGTTTCCTAGCAACATTGTTCCACTGATAAATATTTACAAAAACTACAGCACCCTTATATGTGCCAAGCATTATGGTAAGTGATTTGCAGGAACTGTTTAATCCTGTCAGTAACCCTATTTTACAGATGAGATAACTGACCAGGTAAGAATTTTCCAAAGCCTCAAGTAATGAACCAGTAGTGGCTTGGGGAAGAGTGCTAATTGGAAATTGGGAATTCACATTACTACAGTCATTTTCTTAGCATCCCTTCTCAAAATGTTCAGGTATCAAAATTAGAAATTTTTTATTCTGATTTTCTATTTTTTCCTTGAGTGATACATGTAGTTTAACATGTATCATTAATCTCTTGGGTTTCTTATTCTTTATAATTGAGGTTATATCACTTATCATTCTGACAGAAATTTACATATTAATCCAGAACAAGAACGTCTCATCTCCCTAAGAAGGCTCATACCCTTCCATGACTTTATCCCAATCTTTCTTCTGACCTCAGACCATTTTCCTGAACCTCAGAATCCATTTGCCAGCCACAGTAGGGAACCTAGCTGTCTGTCTATACTCAGCAGAGACCCAAGTTGTCTCAAATAAACTTATCTCCCTCCATCTATTTTCCCTCCTCTATTTCCTATCTCTGTTCGTAGCATTTTCATCTCATCAGCTGACCAAGATAAAAAAATATATATATTATCTTTTTACTCTCATTCTTTACTTATAATATGTTAACAAGTCCTGGTTATTTTAACTCTTTATATAAATAATAAAGGGTTAATATCCAAAATATATGAAGAACACATATAACTTAACACCAAAAAAAAAAAAAACAGTCCAATTAAAAAATGGACAGAGGACCTGAGTAGACATTTCTCCTAAGAGGACATACAGATGACCAACAATGTAAAAGATGCTCAACATCACTAATCACCTGGGAAATGCAAATTAAAACCACAATGAGATATCACCTCACACTTGTCAGAATGGCTATCATCAAAAGATCAAAAAATAGTATGTGGAGAAAAGGGAACCCTCGTGTACTGTTGGGATTGTAAATCAGCAGCCACTATGGAAAACAGTATGGAGATTCCTAAAAAAAATTCAAAGTAGAATCTAGAAATTTCACCTCTGTGTATTTATTGAAAAAAACAAAAACAAGAATTTGAAAAGATACATGCACCCTTATGTTCATTGCAGCATTATTAGTAATAGCCAAGATGTGGAAGAAACCTAGATGTCCATCAATAGATGAATGATTAAAGAACATATGGTATACATACACACACAGAGGAATATTATTCAGCAATAAAAAAGAATGAAATCTTGCCATTAGCAACAATGTGGATGGACCTAGAGGGTTTTATGTTAAGTGAAATAAGTCAGACAGAGAAAGACAAATATCGTGTGATCTCACATATACAGAATCTAAAAATAA